TCTGACTTTCCCTAGGTCCTGATGTACACCATGCCCTGACCTACTTCACTGTCCCTTGTATGCTTTAAATGAAGCACTGTCAGTTAAGAGAACCTAGCTTTTTCTTCTCAGCAACCATTTTAAGAATTTTGTGCTTTTACAAAGACCATACTTAAAGACAGTTCACATTTTAACTTTGCAAAAGCATAGCAAAAAATTAGTATTATTTAGTGAGATATAACCTACATACTAGTAATTTTGCCCTCTTAAAGAGTTCACTATATTTTGCATTCAGAGTTTGTCAGCCACTGCCACTATTTTCAAAACATTTCATTACCCTAGAATAAAACCTGGACCCATTTTCAGTCCTTCGCTATTCTCCCTACCCTCATCCTTTGACAACTACTAATTTTTTTTCTGTCTATATGAACACTGCCATCTAAACAGTTCATATGAACAAAATCATACAAAATTGCCCTTTTGTGGCAGATCTTTTTTACCAAATATCTTTCTTTGAAATTAAAAAGGTCTGTATTCCTGTTCTATATAATTAGTTTAGAATGTTTTTAAACGCTTAGAACATAAACAATAGCTTTATAATATTAGTAGAAATTATTTCAAGACAGAACAAATATTTAATACAAAGGTCATTTATAATAATAATAAATGGAAACGTACTCCCAACAATCTTCATAACTTCTAATTGTCTGACAGATTTCCCATGCTTCCTATGCTTCAATGCTACCATTTCATTATATTTTTCTTTTATTTTTACAATGTATTTGTTTTGTTGAAGACAGGGTCTCACTGGGACTTTCTTTGTATACCAGACTAGCCTTGAACGCACAGGGAGCCACCTATCTCTGCCTACTGTGCTGGTATAAAAGGTATACACCACCATACCTAGCTGGTTTTTACGCTTGTTTGTTTTTAAAATAGGTAGCTCTGGATGCCCAGGAACCTGCTTTGTAGAACAGGGTGGCCCTGTGCTCAGAGATCAACCTGCCTTTGCCTCCCAAGGACTAGAATGAAAACAGGCACCACTGAGACCCTTCTAACAAATATCATTGTTTACTCTCCTTCCAACTCTACCCAGAAGTACAGAAATTTGGAAATCCAAGTACTTGCTAATTCAACTGCAATCTCAAGTTTGCATTTGTTTCACCCTGTGCTTTAGTAATGACAAGGGGAAATGTATTTTACTGATGATCGTTTGGTATCAAAATGAAACTTTAAACTAAGAACTTTACTCTTTTATACTATACCATTAAAGACTATCCCAGTTTCTTGTATGACTAAGTTTATTCAAATACCTAAAGTTTTAAAAAGTTAACAAAGAGGCTAGATATCCATCTTTAACAGTTATTGTTAACCAGACTAGAGCATAGAAATGTATAAACTGTATTTATTAAACATACCTTGTTTTTACAAAAAAAAAAAAAAGGTAGCACTACTCCTGGCTATGTTTCTACATTATTAATGTTATCTTTAAGATGAAGTTTACAAAGGCTGGCTTCGTTAATCTAGGTACCATATGCCCATGTACTGTATGTGCTATATGCTCATTAAAACTTAGATCATAATTATAGAAAATGACTGACAAGTACCTGTACTTTGTGAGTATATACTTCTTATTCATCTTTTTTTTTTTTTAATGTGAGTTCTGGGAATATGTACACTATATATGAATATATTTATCATTGTATTAAACAAATAAAACTAGAAATAATACAAATAGATACAGACTTTCTCCCAGTACCCCAGAAATAATGGTCTAAGCCCTAAAGTATGCCCTCACTAGTTTAGTAACTACCTCTGAAAATAAAGTAACACACATCACCTTTCCCTCCACATGCTTTTTTGTCAAGCTGCTCAGTGTAAAAGTTGAGTCTTCCACCTACTAGCCTGAACTACCTGGACATGCTATCCAAAAATTCTGACCCAATCTCCTTATAGAAAAACAGAGAGACTAGCCACAAATATTTGCTGTGAGGACAAAATGAGCTATTATATAATATATGGCTAAGAACGGCAGCACACAAGTAAGTAATCAAGAAACACTAGCCAATATTATTGGGGAGGGGTGTTTGTTTATTTATTTTGTTTTTGTTTGTTTTTACTGCTGGGAACGTATATCTAGAAAAAATATGTGTGGTTGAAACACCTTGCACACCACTGGACTTTCCACTAATAAGCCACTAAATTCATAATGGCTTTTTCCTCCTCTGGCAAGGATGGCATTCAGAGATTAGCTGATGCCATGCATCAACTTCTTCCTATGTGATACCACACTTACTGAATAAGAGAACTTTGTCCCATTGACTGAATATTTCTACTCTCCTTCAAGATCCAACATGCCACTAGACAGTAGAATAACAAGCTATGGTCTATACTTTATGTTCTCCTTCAGCCTGTTTCTGTTCAGTAGAAAAATAGTATTCATCATAATTTATTCCTATATTTTTTTCCACACAATTATTTTATCATACACAGTTCACTTAAATGATTTAACAATAAAGGGAAGATGACGAATTTTCTTCTAGTGCATCCTTAAAACCTAAAATAGAACCTTGCATGTGCTTTGCACAAGGGAAAAAAAAATGCTGGGCTGAGGAAATGGGTCAGTGGTTGTACTGCTTGGCAGACAAGCCTGAGAACCTGAGTTCAAAAGGCCAGAATACATGTGAAAGGCAGAAGCTGTAATGTGTCTTTAATCCCAGTGCTCCTCTGGTGAGCTGAGGAGAGCAGACAAGAGGCTCTCCAGGAGGCCACAGGCCAGCTAGGCTAGCACATGCAGCATCAAACAACAAAAAGACACTGCCTCAAACTAAATGGAAGATGAGGATCCTCACCTAAAGTTATACTCTCAGCCTTCACATCAGCACCAGCATGCAAAAAGACACACCTCACACATCCATATACATACACAATTTTTAAAATACTTGTTAAATGAATGAATTCCTGTTCAGAAGTGCTTTTACACTATGATCATATCAAATATCAAAGCATTTTCTAGAGTAAACAACAAGTTCCAGGACAGCCAAGGACTCATATGAGACCCTGTTTTATTTCTTAAAAAGAAAAAAAAAAAAAGTCATTAGAATAAAGCAACTAAATCTGCTCATGAGTATCAACAGTTTAACTTCACCCTCACTTATGCTTAATACCTCTCAGAAGCTAAAGAAGACATAGTATTAATTCATCTGCTTCGCCATCCTTTCGTAAATGATGAACTCCATCTAGCATATGTGAAGCACTGTTCTAGGTCAGTAGTTTTCAACCTTCCTAATTCTGTGACCCTTTAATACAGTTTTGGTAACCCCCTCGACTATAAAATTCTTTTAGATGCTACTTCATAACTGTAATTTGCTACTGTTGTGAATTATAATGTAAATATCTGATTACAGGATGTCTGCTACATGACTCCTGTGAAAAGTTCATTCAACCCCTACAGGGGTCTTGACGCACAGATTGAGACCACTATTCTAGATGCTCATCTCTGCCCCTATAGTGTTTGCATTCTATATAGGGAAGAAACAAAAATAAAATGCTATTAAATACTCAGAAATTGCTGAGAACCAGGGCATCCTTGAGAATTGCTGTTTGATAGGCCTCTTTGTTAAGAGTGACATTTTAACAGGTAAGATAGCAAACTGGAGAAAGATACAGCAAATATGAAGGGCCTAAACAGCAGAATGGTCAGCCTATTTCATCTCTACAACCATGTATTAATTAAAATAAACATTGTCCTCTAGAAACATAGGTTGGTTACAAAACCTATCAGGGATTCCTTTCCCATTTCAATGTGGTAATATTCCTCACTCCCCTACTGCTTCTGACAATTATCTCAAAGGATATTTTTCTCATCCTTTCCAGATTTTCACTCCATTGTATAGTCATAGCAATATAATCCCCTCTTCAAAACCTCACCTGCCAAAAACAATGTGACAATGCATGTTTGTAATCCAAAAGGCTTCAACAAGAAAGGGAGTTAAGAGCTAGCCTTGACTACATAATGAGACCTTGTCTCCGGAAAGATTTTCCTTAGCATCCTAAATCCTAAACTAAGCAACATGCTCTGGTAGGGTAACAGCTTGATATTACCTACCAACCAATGATATTACGTATCACCAGCACCTGGTAAAGTGCATGATGCCTAACAGGCGTTCAATAAATGGTTGTAGAGAATGGCATGACCTCCAAGTTAAACAGGAACAATAAACAATCTTAGCATTAAGTCTTTAAAAACAACAGACACTAGAAGGCGCTCACACAAGTTAGATCAAGGAAGTTAAGGGGCCCGAAGACTAGCGAATAGAGAAGTTGCTCAACGACTTTTTCAAAAATATGCTGAGACGTGCCAACGCAATATAGACGGAACACTGGCCACAAGCAGGGTGTGGACCACAGTTCTTTTGGTTTTTCCAACTCTAAGATCCCAGACACTTGGCCCTCCTCCCCGCCCCTAATCACAGAGCTCTCTACTGGGGTGTCCAGGCGTGAAGCTCTCACCTTCCCATTCGTGGGCGGCTCCTGGATGTAGATGTTACTCATCTTGGTCAGTGCTCAGGATTCCGCTCCTTAGCGTGGCCACGAACGAATGGCGGGTCTCTGTGCCTGCTTATTAGTACACAATTCTTTAACCTGGATACTTGGGGAAAACTTCACACGGTCAGAGTCTAGCAAAACAGCCGTACTAAACACCACTTATTCCCCAAACAAGCCCCTCATGGACGCCGCCATGTTGCTCCAGGACCCGAGCACCGCTAACTCCGGAGTGGGGGGAAACTTCCCTTCAAGGAACTACAAAAGACTATAAGACTTCCGCAGCTTTAGAGAATTTGTCATGTCATTTGTAATAACATTTAAAGGGACGCTCCGTAAATCCCAGTGCTGCGTCCAGGTCGGGTGTTCGCAGACGGTACTCACCTCCCGAAGCCGGCCGGAATGGTACCGACCACGTGCTCCGCCGTAGGACTCCCCTGGAAACTGCATCCGCAGCGCCTTAGTTCCGCCAACCCTGGAAGTGCATCCGGCCTTCCCCGGCCGAGAGAAGTTGTTGTGGCTAAGTGGGAGAGATCGCTCTGATTGTGCGTTGTCTTCGCAACGGACTTGAACGCTACACGATCTCGAAAGCCTAGGACTCCGGCGACCCCACTCTGCTGCGTCATGGCAGTCCCAGGTGAAGATCAACGGCAGGGCCCCTCTCACACCAGAGGCGTAGGGGAGTGCAGGGTGCGGGGTGGCCGGGAGACCTCCCGGATTCAGGCAAAGGCCTAAAAATTTAGAGTTGGTTGGTTTACATGAAAAAGTTCACACTACAGATATAAAGAGGGTAAGAAAAGAGAGAGAGAGGTCGTTTTCCCGTCGTTCTCAGGCAAGCCCAAACTGCACAGGATTACAGGGAAAGTGTTGTTATAGGAGGGACAGAGGACTTGGGAGCAGTGGACTGTAGGCCTAAGTGGACAAGTTGCCCAGAAGACTGACGGTAACTTTCATGGGGTTTCAAAATAAAGTCCGAAATAGGAACATTTGGCGGACCCAGGTAGCCATACACATTGTACTGAAAGTCAAGTCGAAAAGCGCATCTGGGAGTTTGTTCCAGCTCTTCCTACCTGTAGTTGTGGCTGTAGGCCAGTTGCTGTACCATTTTGAGTCCCAGTTTCCCTACCTGTAAAAGAGTCGTAAGATTCTAGGTTTCACGTTTATGTTCATAGGTTTCTAACCTAAAAGCGGCAAGCTGCTCCAGGGATGTTTTTGTCTGCTGCTCCAGCTTTCTGGGGAGTTCTTGGAGCTGCAAGAACTTATCCAAACCCGCTGGCTTGGTCAGGAGGTGTTTCTGCAGAACCCTATTTTCAGGCAGGAGCTTTTAAGATATATATTACGCCTCCCTTCTTGAAGATTCACATGTCACAGTACTGTAGAAAAGACCCTAAAAATGTTTTTGAAGCCCCAACTTTGCTTAAAAGTGCCCTTCCCGCTACTGTTTGATTCCCGTCTTTTGTTCTGTGGCAGCCTTTTCTGAACTTTATTCTAGAGATGGCTGTTGAAGCGTAGGGGCATTGCTTTCTTAACTTCCGCAGTTTGCAGAGGAGTTCATCTGGAGCTATGAGAAGAGAGGTGACTGTACACTCTTTATGAAGTGTGTTGCAGTGGAGCATGATAGATACCTTAGAACTCAGCGGGGAGAGGGGGGAATTTACAGAAAGTGAAACTAATGTAGCAAAATAGTAAGGATACCTAGCAGGGAATAGAGAGTACAAAAGGATGTTCCAGGTGAGACCTAAAGAAATGTGAGAGGGAGGGGAGCCTGCAGGGAGAGGAAGTAGAAAAGGAAATGAAAGATGTCTACTGTGGCTAACATTCATTACGCTAATGTGATGGAAATGAGACATTAACTAAAGAGATAATCACATTAGCTAACATTTACTATGTAACCCATGTATCTGATACTATGTCAAACATTGTATTTTTTTTTTTTTTCTTACTTTAAGGGCCACTGCTGTGAGATAGCTGTTGATATTCCCACTTCACAGACTGAGAAATCAAGTAACTTGACTATTTCAAGATCTAACGCAGGTCACCCTAGCTCTTCCAAAGCCACCATGCATGTGAATGCATTTTCCATGAGGAGATTTCCTTTGATTGAAGGACCTTATAAGCCAATACAAACTGTTAGGACGTTAATAGACCACTTAAAGGTTTTAAGAAAATTACACTTTAGGATACAGTAGCCTAGAGGAGAGTTAGTTAATTTGGTGATTAAGTTAGTTGGTGATGAAGGGTGATTCTGGTGAGTTATGACACCATTGAGGATGTGGTTTCATTAAGAGAAAAGCAGCTAAGCTGGAGGTGTGTTTTAGGTGGTAGGATCACTAAGAATTGAAGATTGCTTTGATGTGGTAATGAGGAAATGAGATTCACCTGGTTCTTGATGTTAGCTAATTGGGGAGGCCTCATAACTGGGAAGACACCTGTCAAGAGCAGAGTTTAGAGAAATGGCCACGAGGTCAGTTTGGAGCTTGTGTTGAAGTTAGTCTCGCACAAGAGTGGAAATAACTAATAGACAGCATGAGAATACAGGGATATTAGGCAAGAAGTCAGAGTCAAAAACAACACATACTATAGGAATCAAGGCATAAGGCAGGAGGGACTGTGTAGACACGGTGGATGATGTCTGAAGGCAAGATCTGGAGCCGAGGGAATAATAGCATTTATGGGGATATGCTCATAGCTTGCCTGAGCATTCGGAGAGGCTTTGGTGACCACTGCGTCACCGCTGCACCCAGCATTGTCCCTACCAACCCTGCTCATTCTTTGAGCAGGCTTTCTGAGTGTCCATGCAGTATAAACGCACCAGGAGACACACTGTAAAACTTCAGGAATGAAAATGTGCTACTTAAGAAAAGGGACAAAAGCGACTTTTCTTCTAGCTTTGTTTGAGATGCTCTTAAATTTGAGGCCAGTGTTAAAAAAAAAATATGTTAACCTTTCAATTCAAAATAATGCCTCTGAGCATGATAATAAATTGTGTCATTAAGCTAGATGGAACGACTTACATAAACTGCTTAAACCCACCAAAAATCAAGATAATAGGCATGACAGGTGGCATGACTGCACAATGCAACTGCTTTAGAAAATACAGTCCCAGAAGGTATTAAGATAATTTCTTGGATGATCGATCCAGGCACTGCATGGAAGGAAAATAGGGCTCCATTGAGGAGATCATCAAGAAGGACAAGCATTGTGTCATGCTCCTTTATTTTAGGTTGATGGATTCAGCTTGGGGTGATTGTGCTCCTAGTTATTATAAGGTATAACTATGGAGTAATGAGGCTGCTTTTCACAAACTACCAGCCTTGTCTGTTTCAATGGTCACGTGCTTCCACTGCTGTTCCTCAGCATTGTATGCTAGCGTAAGCCATTATGTAGGTAACAATGAGATCCTGAAGACCTTAGAAAAATCTTAAGACACTTAGTTACTTGACAAATAGCACTGAGCATAGGATTCAGCGAAGTTTACTTGCTTTAGAACATTTTTTTCCCTCCCCTCATAGTTGTTCTGATTAGCTCGGTTGTTGAAGTTTTGTTCTAAGTCACTGTTCTCCGTCAGGAGTTGACCTGGCACAAGTGACAATGTGTGTTACTGATGATGGTGGCACAGAAGCTGACCTTTTTATGTCTCTCAGTGAAGTCTGTACAGCCAGGGTAGAAGAAGAGGACAATGGCTAAGTTAAGATCTCATTCTCACATCCCTTGAGCACATTGCTGAAGCATCTACGTAATAATGAAAATGTGAGCTCACACCACAGCCAACTTTCCTCACTCCTCAAACATGCTCTAGGTAACTTCATTTCTCTCTCACATGGTTGCTGAAATAATGTTCCTAAATCATGTCTGAATCTATCATTCCTGGCAGAGGGGGCAGGGAATCCAGTTATCTGTGGATTTTGTAATTCTCTTTAAGCCACTTAACTTTTCACTGGCTGTTTCCTTGTCTTTCTTCAGCTTCTAAAATACTAAAGCTCCTTTCTCTACAAGAATGAAATGTGTATTCCTGAGTATTACCGATTCTTTTCTGCCTTTTCCTGTCCTCCTTATGTATTCTCCAAAGATGTAAAAATAACTGGCATGGCTCTTTTCCTACCTCTCCTGTGTTTTTCTACCTGTGCTGTGCACCTTTGTTACTGTCATTCCTTCATTATAGTCCACACATGCCTCAGATTTTCAGCTGCCTGCACTTTTTATGCTTAGTAGCAAAACTGTATGTTGTTTTTCATGTTGCCCAGCACAGTCTGTCATGCATTACAACTACGGGTAGGGTAACCTAGTATGATGTAGCTTCTTGTAGTGAGACTTTATTTTTATGGCTTTTCTAATACCAATTCACAGCTACACCCATATACAGGATCTGTAGTTCATTTATGACAAGCACAGTCCAGTGCTGGCAGACTTGATTCTGTTTCAGTAGACAAGAGATGAAACTTAATATCCCATGACAATAACGTTTGGTTACATATCTAGGACTTACAGGTACCTGGGCTCCCCACTTAAGCTCCCATTGATTTGGGGTAGAGTGAAAAGGGAAGTTAGGGATCTTAGGGTTGGGAAAAACCACAAGGTGTTCTTAGTTGGAAACAGTTGCAACATGTTTTTGAAGGAGACTTTGAGATTTCTCTAACCTGGCCCTATAATTCCTTGCTAAGTGTAGCTCAGATCTGCCTGAAACTCACAGTACAGTAGGCTGGCCTCAAGCTAAGGCCTCCAGCTGCAGTCACTGTGGTTACTAGGGTGTCACCATACCCAGCTTTGCTTTTTCTTGATAGGTTATTTTGTGAGGCGAAAGAAGGAAGCATTCTATGCATTTACTTAAGTTAGCTATTTCATGTCAGTAGTTTAAGGGACTATGACTGGATTACTTTCATTCCTGTCTTGGGGTCAAATGATTAAGAAGATATTTTAAACTAAACAGTAGGACCTCTGCTCTTTCAAGAAATTCATTTAGCCTGCTTTTTAAATTCATGAGGAAATTCTAATTTCTGGTTGTGTTTGTTTTGTTTTGTTTTTTCTATTTGAGTTTCACTACCTCATGTGAGCTCCCAAAGAAGAGTATATCTACAGCTAGGAATATAAACTAGTGGAAAGGCTTAAACACTTGGAGTTTTATTTTCTCATTCAGCTTTATGTTTTATACAGACAGTAGCACTCCTATATTAAATATCCCTACTTTTTGAGGTTAAAAAAAAAAGAAAATGCAATAAATTAATATTTTATTGAAGCCCTGAAGTATGTTAACTTAAATGCTAATAAGATGACCAAATGGAAAATCTGTAGCAAAACAAAAAGGAATCAAACCCACTCTTACTGAATCTAATCAAATTAAAAGTGAAAAGATGTCACAGACACAGCTCAGTCGCTTACACTTACTGTTGAAGTTAAATGATGACATCTTCAGAGTACAAGGCAAACAGTAAAACTAGGAAACTGAGTTCTACTCATTGCTGTGATGGTAAAGAAACCACCTAAACGGCTGCCCCATGATCAAGGGGGAAGATTTTTATTGACGATGAGAGAGGGAGAATAGCCAGAGGCATCTGGAGGAGTCTGCCACTGGTGCTTTTCCAGGGGAAAGAGAAAAGGTGGGGACCGAAGCAGACTGCAGGGATATGGAAGCACAGAAGGCAGCATAAATGGTGGGAGAGTCCTGCCAGTTATAAGGGTTATATTCCAGGGGGAGGCAGGCAGGTTAGCTGTAGCCTGGGATTGAGTGTGGGGCCCTGACCTGCTGGAGGGAGGCTTGTTGGAGTTAATAGAGAATTAGGTGCCCTTTGTGGTGATTGAGGGGCAATAGTAGTGGATAAGAAATTAGTAGCTTCTGGCAAGTAGAAACAAGGTTTCTGAGGAAGAATGAATGTCCAACCTATGCTGAGCCCAGACTGTCATCTCCTGGAGCTGGAACCTGACAGTTACTGTTTTCAGTGGCCGAATGTTGACTTTGAGTCTAGTGTGGTATACATGGGTAGAATCTCTGCACAGGGGAGCTAGAGACGTGAACAGCACTATAAATTTGAAGTCAGACTTGCCAACATAGTAAATCATAGGCCAGCCAGATCTACAAATCCTCTTAGAATTAATTTTTGGCTTGGGAATCATAGACAATGTAGCTTCTAAGTAAGTGCATTTATATCAAATCTGATGTTTTCTCTGTTTTGAGAGAGCAACCAAGAGAATCTCTTTGGTTTTTCTCTTTTTCTTTAGCCTTTTCTGTTTTACCCTTTGAAACACTGTCTCTGCTGTGTAACCCCCACAGCTCATGATCCTCCTGCCTCAGCTTCATTCTTCTCTGATCCTTTTCTTTTCTCTTTTGCTTCTTGCTGTTGCTTTTTCTATGCTAACTGCTTTACTAAAATAATTTACATATACTAAAAGCCCTGCAAATAAAATATGTGCAGTTTAAAGACTCTGTGTGTTTGATAGACTATAGAAAAAAAGAAATAACTGAAGTAAAGTTCAATTTCCATGCTATATAAATGCAACATCCCAAACAGTTCTGCCGCCTCTTTTCTTCTTCCTGTATGTTAGGGATTGTTCCATTTCACAAAACACTGGCCTCATTCCTTCATACCATAATTTATGTATTATTTTCCTACTTATATTTTTAAAGTTACAAGGTATGTTGCTTCAGTTAACTTTATACATAGTTGTATAAAGTTGTATGTGTGCAGGTAAACTGTAGAAGTTCCCAGGCAGAACAGTGCTGGATTAAGGCCTGGTGCAGTGCTACTTTGTTCCCCACTCACCTTTCCAGCATAAGCTCCACTCAATGGTCTCTTCAAGCTTTTCAACCTGTGCTTCTCTGAGAAGTGAAACAGAATCCTGGCACTGTTTCTAATAGGCATTTCACATATAATGAAAAGTACATGTCTTCTACGTGTTTCAGAGCCATTACTGTTTCTTTTTCCATACACTTTCTGGCCCACTCTTTGCTCCCTTCTGGTTTTTCCCCAGTGGCTGTTGGTCCTTTCCTCAGGATGTACGGAGTTTCCACAGTCCTTTCTGCAAGTTACAAATATTGTTTCGCAACCTCTCAAGTGTAATCTGAGTTTGCTGCTGGAGGTTTTTGTGCAACCCTCTACCCACCCCCATCCCCAAAACACACACACAACGTGGTCTTATTATGTGCTTCTAAAGTGACCTTTCGATTGTAGGTCTGGTTACAAAGGAAAACTTGAAATGGGCAGGCATCACCGACCAGCCCAAGCTGGTTAGTGATAAATAAACCAAGAACATCCGCGAGCTGCAAATGGGAGGGAAAGTGGATCTCTGCCCGGGGAAGGGACCTCACCAAGTGGCTTTGCTGATCAGTTTGACAAAGATTTTGGAGTACCATTACACCAGCAACAGTTACTGTCCGGACAACAGAAACTAATGATTAAATGGCAAAAGAAAGAGGCCAAGGGGTTTATTGAATAAGAAAACCCTTGCTGGCAATGCTCAGAAAACATAAAAGGTGAAGCAAAGCCAACTGAACATCCTGCCACTGTAATCAGTGCCTTGGAAAAATGGACTCCCCACCCCCAACCTCCAAATAGGGTCTCATGTCATCCAAACTGGCCTCAAACTCACTATGTAGCCCAGACTAGACTTGAACTCATGATCCTCCTGCCTAAGCCTCCCAAATGTTGAGATTACAAATGATTAGCTAGAAGCCAGATCTTGATAACAGAATGAGCTATGATTGTATCACTGTTTTTCAGGTCTGTAGTATCATTTGCTGTGGCCTAATAGGCCCATGTAGAAACTTTTCATTGGCCAGATAATCTTGCAAATAATCACAAATGAAGCTGGGATCTTAGTTTAGCCAAAGGCTAGTGATAAAGAAGCTTGTAGGGAGATCTGGGCATTTCTTTGTCATAAAAAGTTTTGGTTTTGTTAAAGAAGATAGCCTGAGAGGAATGTCATGTTTTATTCATTCTAAAAATATGAAACACTTGAAGAATGAGTTCACATCAGTGTTTCTTGCTATATAATGAGTTCAAGTCTAGCCCAGGCTGAGGTGAAATGGTTTCACATCTGCCTCTTACTGTTGGTCTGTTGCAGAAGTAATACTGGTGCATGAAGCAGTTTATTCAACATCTGTGGTTTCTATGGAAACAAACTTAATACTGACCCATATTCTCTGAGGTTTTTTTGTCAACATACAATTATATTCATGATGGAGAAGCCTTAGATCAGGTTAATCCAGTTTTGTTCCACAGTGAGTCCTGTTTTGCTGTGGCAACACCATCTATGTATACTGACAACACAGAAATATTGTGAATAGTTGTAAACATTTATCAGAATTGGATACATGATTACTTTGTTTTTTTCTCAATGTTCAAGTGGTGAATTTAAGTAATTTTTTTTATTTCACCTAACAATTACAGTGAATTTTATGTAGGGAATTTCTTCAGTTTCTTTGAGAAAGGTGGAATTATTTCTTTCTACTGAAAAACAGAAAAATATTTGTTACACCTTAATGCTTACACACACACACACACACACACACACACACACTGGAAATTAGTTACATTTCAGCATTAGGCCATCTTCTAGAATTTCTTCCCCTATGTGTGGGGTTCCTAAAATGTTTAAAGCTCTCAACTATAATGCTGTGTTCCTATTGAATTTGGGTAAATTCACTTTTAATGAGTTGATTGTTCATCAAAATAATTGAGTGGTGTTGCTAAGATGAGAGGTTTTTGTTTTTTGTTTTTCCAGGAAATGTTAGTACAAATGATTATCGTAGCTTTTCACCATATGATAAGGTCTTTATTTTCACTTACATATATTTTCCCAAATGTTCTTCAATTTTATTTCAGGTTGCAACAAGGACAATGTCAGAGCAGGCTGCAGAAAATGTGGCTACCGTAAGTGTGCTGAAAAGCAGCATTCTGTCTACTGGGATTGCTTTCTTGGGCCCTTGCTTCCTGAGGGAAGGATGACTTGGTATCCTGACATCAGCAGCTCGGTGTGTAGCCCCTGAGCCCTTCCCAGGATTTGTAGTTGACTCAGTAGGTGGTAATGGGGTTCAGAGGTTTAGTCTGTTATCATCATGGTGAGAAGCATGATAGCATTAGGTAGACATGGTGCTGGAGAAAGAGCTGAGAGCTAGTTCTATACCTTGATAAGCAGACAGCAGAAGGACACAACTGACTTGAGCTTCTGAAACCTCAAAGCCCACCCCCCACAGTGACACACATCCTCCATACCTACTCCAACAGGGCCACACCTCCTAATAGGGCCACTCCCTATGGGTCAAGCATTCAAACACTTGATTGTGTGGGGCCCATTCCTATTCAAACCATATCAGCCATAGAATCTTATTTTAGTGTATTATTCTGAGGTTTAATCACCTTCAGAGTTCTGGACAGTCATCTCCACTTTCTATTCTGAATTGTTTTGGAATAGAAACTCCATCTGAAGCAGAAACTCTGCTCCCTCCTTTCTTTAGCCCTTGATAATATCTGCTGTTCTACGTAGTTCTGACTGGAGGAGCTATACATTGTCCTGGTGTCTGGCTTTTTCCCTGGCATGTTTCAAAGTTAAGCCATGCTGTACTGTGTACACATGTTGACATTATTTCTTACGGCAAAATGCCGTTGCGTTGTCTGAATATACTGCACTTTCTTTATCCTTCTGAGGTAGGTACTCAGTTGTCTCTATCTCTTGGCATTACAAATAATACTACAGTGAACATTGTTGGGGCCCTGATTTTCATTCCTGTAAGAATACTCTTAGGAGTGGGATTGTTGATTTGTCTGCAGGACTTTGAGAAGCCACCTAACTTTTCTTTACTGGCTACTTTGTATTCCTACTAGTAATAAATAAGGCTTCTCATTTTCCCATATACTCACCAGCATTTATTACTTTTCCAATTTGATAGAATTTATAGACGAGTGATAATAAGAATATTTGATCAATTTACCTACTTCCAGCTACAGATCGGGTAAAAACCCTTGAATTTCCCAAGTGAAAGAGCTAATAGGGTGTCTTTTGTTACCTGTAACAAATATTTTCCAGCCAAACTTGAGTTTCTTCTTATGACTCTTTGTGCATTCAGCATGGACACTGATTGCCAGAGGACCACACAGGTTTGGAAGGTTAAAGCCAGTCCTCCAAGAAAGGGAGCAAGAATTCATACTGGTGACTTCAGTCTCTGGTGGTCAATGATTTAATTAGCCGTGCCCATTTATGATGGAAATCCATAGACAACCCTAAACTACAGGGTTCTTAGAGCGTTTTGAGTTGCTAAATATACTGGGATACTGAGGAGATGGCACATCCAGAGTGAGTCACCCCCACAGACACACCCCAATATTCCCCTGTGCATCTCTTCCACTTAGCTGCTTGTGAGCTGTGTACATCAAAATAAAGTGCAGGTGGCAAGTTACCTGCTTCCTTTCACTCAGTAAACACTATAGTGAATTACCAGGGATGAGGAGCTTATGGGAACTCTGACTTCATAGCTGGCCAGTCTGTGTGACTAGCCGAGACTTCTGATTGACATCTGAAGTTGGGGAGCCTTGTGAAACTGAATCCTTAATCTGTGGGGCTGCACTGAGCCTGGAAGGTGTCCAGACTGGGCCAGCGAGCTGTCTCGGTGGGTAGCGTGATCACCACTTTAGCCTGACTAGCTGACCATCCCTGCAGTGCATATAAACATAGAAGGAAGGAGCTAACTCTGCAGACTTGCCCTCTGACCTCCATTTGCACACCTTGGTGCACGTGCATGCCCCCCCCCCACACACACACGAAGAATAAGTAAGATTCAGGAATGAATTGAATAGTATGATAGCCAGGTAGTACCCAGAGAGTGAAGAACTAATTGTTGGTGTAGAAAGTTTGCTGTGGGAAGTGTTCTGAGCAGTTTAGACCATTCCAGTAGCTGTGAGGCTCTATTTCATTGTCGTTTTGATTTGCTTTTCCCCAGTAATTGGGAACAACTGCTCATATGTGTTTTGCCCATTTGTACTTCTTTTCTGATTTGTTTGTCTTGCCTTCTTTTGACAAGGTCATGCATTACTGAGTTTTACTTAGATGAGAGTGTGAAGCATCTAACAAGTTTCTTATTTATTTAATTACAGTTTATTCACTTGGTTTTTTATTTATTTTTTATATTAATTACAGGTTATTTACTTTGTATCTCAGCTGTAGCCCCTGCTTCTTTCCCTCCCAACCCCACCCTCCCTCCCTCATCTCCTCCCTGCTCCTCTTTAAGTCCACTGATAGGGGAGGGCCTCCTCCCCTTCCATCTAACCCTAGCTTATCAGGTCTCATCAGGACTGCATTATCCTCCTCTGTGGCCTGGCAAGCTTGGCTGCTCCTCCCTCAGGAGGAGTGGGGGTCAAAGAGCCAGCCACTGAATTCATGTCAGAGACAGTCCCTGTTCCCCTTACTAGGGAACCCACTTGGAGACTGAGCTACCACAGGCTACATCTGAGCAGGGGTTCTAGGTTATATCCATGCATGGTCCTTGATTGGAGAATCAGTCTCAGAAAAGACCCCTGGGCCCAGATATATTTGGTCCTTGTGGCGCCCCCATCCTCTCCACGTCTTACGAACTCCCCTGTCTTTCATATGATTCCCTGCACTCTGCCTGTCTCATCTATGTTTAATAAGTATTTTCCACATTCTGTTTTTCTTTTTCCTGGTAATATTCTTTGCGATTTTTTTTAAGTTTGACAAAATTAAATTTTATCTTTTCTTTTTTTCTTTTGGTGTTAAATCTAAGAGTTGCTAATGACAAATACAAAATGGCAAAGATTTGCCTGTATACTTTCTTCTAAAAGTTTGGTGGTTTGGAGTTTCATGTCTGTTGATCCTCTTTGAATGTGGTTTTGTAGATAATGCAAGGTGGGAGTCTGTGTTCTTACTTAATGTGTGGGAAGGCACTTGCCTCAGCTGCCTGCTCTTCTCCCCCTGAGTGAGAAGCACTCTTGGCAGAACTGTCAGCCATTGCATTTTTCTCTTCTGGCTACTATGGCAGATGTAAGGACAGGATGGGAGGGATTGTGCTTCTCCTTAGCGCCTGGTTTCCTGGTTCCAGCTATTATGGTCTGCTCTGTTGTCTCTGCAGAACATGATGGCAAATGCAGTTTGTGTTCACCTAACTGCAGACCGGAAGTACTGCTGGCATCCTTTTTCCTCTTTTATTCCATCTGGGCTTTCAACTTATGGAAAGGTACAACCCACATTTGGAGTGTGTCGTACTGAACTGGGTGTCTCACTGAACCCAGAGTTTGATGATTCAGCTACTCAGCCAGCTTGCCCTGTCTCTGCCTGCCAGGTGGATTACAAGTGGCCCCATGCCAACCTAACCTGACCTCTTTTTGCAGGAGATATAGTACTTTGTTCACTGAGTCAACTCTCCAGCCCCTTACAGTCTAATAACTCTTTCCTCTCCATCACCTGAGAGTCTATATAGAAAAGAAGCCATGAGAAGACAAATGGTTGGGGACATGATGATATCCTAGCATCTTCACTTACACCCAGTAAGAAAACTAACAGCAACAGACAAAAACCGAACTTTATTTGCAGTTTCACAAATAATTTGCCATGTCACTTTCATTAACTAAAGCTAAAACAGTTGTGGGACTCCTAAGCATTTTTCTTATATGCTCACTTCAGTGCCAAGCATTTGGGTATAAAGCTAACAAGTGAAGTAAGATTGGGTCAGGAGGAATTCTGGTCACAATTAAGCAAGCTGGGCTACAGTTGAAGCCCTCTTTTCTGGGCCAAGTGCATAGCACTGGAAGGAAAGAATGTGATAATAGCAGGACCAAACCAAGAAACCCAGCTCAAAATAAGGAAAGACAACCCATCTCGGTGCTGGGATGCAGAGGGTCTTAAAGCAGGACTGCTTGCTGAACACGCAGTGAGTCACACACTGAATGGCCTCCAGGGCCCTGACAGTGGCGGGATGGCTAGAGTGGAGCCAGTCACATAAAGCCAAGATTCCTACCCTACCTGACAGTCAGGGATTAGGAAAATTTCACTTAACCATCTAGGAAAGTTAGCAAGAATGCTCATGATCTATTTGGGAACCTATAAAATAGCAATTACAAGGAAAAGAACAGTAAGGACGGGGGCTGGAGTGATAGCTCAGAGGTTAAGAGCACTGGCTGTTCTACCAAAGATCAATTCCCAGCAACCACATGGTGGCTCACAACCACCCATGGTGAGATCTTATGCCCTCTTCTGGTGAGCAGTACATGTAAGCAAAACACTGTATACATAATAAATAAATAAAAATCTTAAAAAAAAAAAAAAAAAGAACAGTGGCTTTCAAATGTTTAAAAAAAAAAAGAACAATAAGGACTTGGCAACCAAATCTTTACCTTTTAAGTATAAAGAATGAACTGTACAGTTTACATTGAGGTAGGATCTATTTTTCCAGTGCTAAGAAATTACTGTTACAAAAATGGTCTTATAGGGGCTGATGACAGAGCTCAGTCAGTAGAGCATTTGTCTAGTGTCCTCTAAGTTGTGAATTCAATCCCTAGCACCACGCAAACTACAAGCACAGTGACCCACACCTGTAATCCCAGCGTTCTGTTGGGAAGGGATAGAACTGAGGCAGAACTTCATAAAGGTTTAATAGAACCACTAAAATGCACACACTCTCTCCCTACCTCTCTCCTTCCCTCCCTCTCCCCCACCCCCTCTGTGTTTGTATGCGTGTGTTCACTCATGTGCTGTGGCAACATCTGACATCAGAGGAAAACTTGGGGAGTTTGTTCTCTTCTTCCACCATGTGGGTCCCAGGGATGAACGTAGGTCCTTAGGCTCAGTAGTAGCAAATGGCTTTACCTGCTGAACCATCTGGTTGGCCCCGCTTTGTCCTTTTTATTCAGTCTACGACCCAGCCCACAGAATGCTGTGTAGGATGCGTCTTTCCACCTCTACTAACCTAATCTAAACCTTCAAAGCATGCCAGAGGCTTGTCTTCAGGTGAGCCTTGACCCTGCAACATGAAGTTAGTGATAACCATCACAGTGAGCAATGACTGAAGCTTTCTATTTAGAACAATTTTAGGAAAAATGATATTGGATTTAAGTATTTACTTTTTTGCAGCCTTTAGAGAAGTATTTTTAGTTTTGTTGATGCTTATGCATCATGACCACGTTAATTAGATGAAAGATGTAACCTCATGAGTTAGTAGTCAAGCCAAGGAGGAAACGCTACAGGGAGGGAATAAAATATGAAGTTTCGTGTATGAGAGTGTGTTTTTGGTTACCCTAATCTAAATAATGTAAAATAACCTGTGGTTATAGAAAGAGAAAAGGCAGTGATTCGGTATTCTCAAGTCCATGACAAGTGCCCCCGCAGTGATTCTTGACTTAGAAGTTCCAGTGCGTAAGGGAAGAGTTCTGTTGGAAGACTGTGTCCAAACAAAAGCAAAGGGAACGTTCCACACAGGTAGCAACAAGATGCACGTTACAGCTTTGGTGAGTGAACTTGTGCTCCGTTGCCTACTGTGAATTACCAAAACAAAGGGCACAGATATGCATGTAGTTTTCCCTCTCGTTTCTTGTTTTCTTTTTTAGCTGGTCATCTGACATTTGAGTGCCGCAACTTTCTCCGGGTAGACCCCAAAAGGGACATTGTATTGGATGTCAGCAGCACAAGTAGTGAGGACAGTGATGAAGAGAATGAAGAACTGAGCAGACTGCAGGCCCTGCAGGAGAAAAGTAAGCAGTGCCTTCCCCCCTCTGTTTCGTCGTCTTGTCATGTCACGCTTATGTAAGTGTGCTCATCACAAAGTTGTCTTTCCTATTGCATGCAAGGGCTGCAGCATAGGTAAGAATGTAGGCATTGACGGAAGGCATTGGCATAAAATTATATGCCAATATAGTATCAATTCTGAGACCAGGAGGCAAGTCTTCTTCTGATTCCATACTTGGCGTTTTGCTTTTTTTCATTTACACTGGAATAAGACGAATATCAGACTTCCAGCTCCCACCGACAAATATCAGAGATTTTAGACAACCAGAAGCTTACAATTTTAAATACACAAAGAATCTGAGGCATGAACAAGCAAGAATTCTAAGACTACCAATATATAAGCCCTAGGAATTTCCTTTCTGCTTTTGGAGATATTCTCGCCAAGATTTACCTAAGTGGGGCTGGAGAGAGGGCTCAGCAGGAGGGGCGTGTTATGGATCCAGGAGAACTGAGTTCACCTCTCACCTCAGGATATTCACAATTGCTTGTGCTCCAGGTGATCCTCCACCCTCTTCTGACTTCCACAGGACTTGCACACAAGGCATACAGGCACATAAGTAAAAGTAACTTTAAAAATCATTAAAAGATTAATATAAGACTTTTTATATTACTTTAAAAAAACAAAACAAACAACAAAAAACAGCTGCAGTTGACTATAAAGGAGGCATCTCTCCTTTTATAGTCCATCTTGTATCTAAAGCTATTATAAGTTATTATAATGGGATAAACAGGAAGTTGTACACTTATAAACTTCACATTCTCTATGTAGCTATTATATCGAAGTAAAATGTTAACTTATTTAAAATGAGGATTTGTACAGATTAAACTCATTATGTTTTAGGTTTTCGGAGTGCTTCAAACAGTAATTTCTGTATTATTCCCACTTGAAGTAAGAAAAGCAGCTAACTGAGGAATCCAGCTGGGCTGAAGCTTAATGCCACAAACTTTGTTCTTCATCTGCTCTTGCTGAAGCCCATTGTATGCTGTGTTTTCATTTCTACTTTTCTTTGACTCCTCTTCTTCTTTGACACAGAAGCTAGGTCAGGATGTGTTGTTTGATTATACATATTTTTAAGTTTTCCAATTTTCCTCTTGATACTAATTTCTAGCTATGTATTATTGTTATCAGCAAGGTGCCCAATATGACTTCATTTCGAAACTTGTTAAGATATAGTTTATGAGCTAATGTGATCTTCTGGGGTTCCCTAGTTGAAAATAATTACCATTATATCGTCATTAACATCTATGAAAGAAGTCATCTTGGAGGTCCTTGCTTTTACCTCTTAATCCTGTTTTTGTTGTCTTCATTGTTCTAACTGTAAACTAAAAATCACACACGTGTACACACACACAAACTGCATATTAGGACATAGACTCATGCTGACTTCTTGGTGGGTTTTTTTCCACCACTTTCTCCCTTACAGGAATAAATGAAGAAGAGGAGAAGAAAAAGGAAAAGAGCAAGGAGAAAATTAAATTGAAAAAAAAGAGGAAAAGGTACATTTTAATGAGTTATTTACTTGTTGAAAACAAAAACCATAAGCTGTTAGTCCAGGAAGGCTCACAAATTTTATTTTTCACATAGTCTAGTTCATTTACTATTAGGGTTTTCTTTATGAGAATAAGATGTTTAGTAAAATAGCAAAGCCTTCTACATTAGAAATTAGGAGTCAGAACTGAACTCATCACTCAGTCACCTCACCTCTTCTCACTGGAGCAAATCGAGGACCTGATGAGGGTCAGCATTGCTCCCTTTTATACATTTGTGTTCTTGAGTTTATGCTTATAACAAGAGCTGATTTTAATTGGATGCACATCTAAAGCCTTATTTTATGCTCATTTTGAAATTGGATTCTCAATGTCTATGTCCTTTTATTGCCATGACTAAGAAATTGCTTTATTGATAGAATTTTGTAAGCCCAATCTTTCTTCAGATCTTTCACAACCCTCGCTAGCCATTTTTTAAATTTTGCTGGTAAGACTTTTAACGACTGTTTAAAGAAACTGATCAAATGAAGTGAGAGGCCAGTCCTTCTCTGGTTATTAAGGACGGTCTTATTCATACTAAAAGAAGCAGACATGTTTGTGAGCATGTGATCATAGTTAGGTCTAGTCTGGACTTTATTCTCTCAGAAGTTTTTTGTTTTTTTTTTTTTTAACCTGGTGTTACCACTTTAATTCCATAATGCACTTGATTTTGTATATTTTAATACTTCAGAAAACTTGTGAATTTGTAAACATTAGCTCACTTTCAGGTGTTAGGAGTTGAATAACCTTTAACAGAACTTCTAGATGCTTAGAGCTCAATTTCTGACTAGTGTATTGCTGTTTGTGCTATAGCAGCAGGCAGGATTGCTTACAGGAAACACAGAGCTATATAGTCTTCCATGTTCTGATATATTTGTATGTATATATTTTTTACATGTGTATATGTATGTATATATATATATATATGCATATGTGCATGCTTATTTATATTATGCTATATTATTATTCATACCTGACTGAATTATATTCAGACATGTCTCTGTCAAGCCGCACAGGCCTTAGGTCCTGAATCCCAAGCATCTTCATGCATGCACAGATAGCCACCTACTAGTGTGCTATGCCCAAACCTAGTTTTGCCTTAAAGATGAGAATCCAGGACCAAAAAGCTGAAGAAAAATGTGCAGGTATTTTTCTAAGATGCTGTGTGTGTGCAGATAAACAGACCAGCAAGAGAAAAGCAAGGAAGTGAGGGGAAGCTTGGAGTCAGGGGCTCCCCAAGCCATTCCTAGGGACAGGGAACCCTCCATCCTGCAGCCCATGGATTCACTTTGCCTAGGGTCTGTCTTGAAGTTTCTAAATTTGGATTTTAGTCCCAATATTTAGATTGCTGAGCTAACTTTTAAAAAAATTTTTTAATTACGATGCAATTATAAAATTTCTCCAGCCCTATACCAACCATATACCATATACCACTCCCCACTCTTTCTTAAATCCATGACTTCTCTTTTAAAAACTTTCAAATATATTTATATTTCTATATAAATAGAAATATAAGAGATAGATAGACTCCTAAATATATAAATATAACTTGCTCAGTCCATGTAATGTTACTTGTATGAATAAACTTTTAAGAAGCCTGTTGCATTTTAAATTAACTCAGTTTCTGTGTTGTCACATATATTTTTGTTTTTGCTTTACATGAGATCTAAAAAGGTGACTTGTTTGTTTATTTGTTTCTTTAACCCCACCCTGCATGCCTATATCTGAGAAGACAATTTTATGAGTGTTCCCTCAATTTTGTGTTTAAATATTAGAAAAATATAATGATAAATTATCTTCATTCATCTACATGCTGTATTCATTTAAAAACACCCTTTCTGAAACTAATAAAAATTACAAGGAAATACAAGTGTTCATTTCTATCACTCTGCAAGCAGAAGGATCAAATTCATTATCATGAAAAATCACAGGCATTACAAAAGTGCTTTTATTTTGTTAATTTGCAGCTCTTACCCATTCACACTGAGGAACAATTAGGATCCTTTTTCTATTGAGCCATAATTGCATCCTTTTGTGACTTAAGAGAATATGCTAACAAGTTATCGCTTACAGGAGTGGGTTGTGTGCCTGAGGTCAGCGAGCTCTGCTTCAGTTCCCCATAACATTCTGAAGGGCAGGCAGCCCAGCATGCAAGCCTGTGACAACCCCAGAAAAACGGGGGATTCTCAGCGAGCCTAAAGCCCACCGCATTAACTCAAGCTGAACAAAATGGAGATTGTGGCTTTATCAGCTTCTGTGACCAAGCAGCAAAAGTTTTGAATTTGCGTTTAAAGAGAATAGGAAGCTGCTTTTCGGTACCCTTCCTCTCCCAAGACCTGAGGCAGCTCAGACCCTACTCAGTTCTCCAGTGTAACTGCAGTGCCAGTCACTTTGTCTTCTTGCCCATAGGTCTGACTCCAGCTCCGCCGAAGAGGACTCTTCGAAACAGAAGAGACAAAAGTATCAGAGAAAAGAAAAGAAAAAGGAGAAAAAAAACAAATCAAAAAAAGGAAAACACCACAAAAAGGAAAAGAAGAAGAGAAAAAAGGAAAAGCGCTCTTCCCTTAGCCGTTCTGAATTCACCAAAAAGTAACTGAGTCTTTGGCCTCACTCAGGAAACTGAAGAATTCAATTTTTTTTTTTTTCAATTATTGTACCTTCCTTGGAATTGCTATATAATTATACTTCGCGGCAAATCCCAGCCTCTTCCATAAAGACATTTTCACAGGTTGGGGCCCTTATCTCTCTGCCTGTCTGTATTAAATCCATCTTCTTACTTGACAGCTGTGCCTCAAGTATAGATATGTGTACATACAAAGCACACCATTTTGGCTATTTGTGTCTGTGTGTGTTAGACTAGGGCTGTTGCTTAGTCAGTTAACTAGCACATGGCTTTACTGCAGTCAAACAATCTACACAGCAGCTCCTGTGTCTTGTCTGCCCTCGGTGGTGAAGCTACTTTGGTGGCAGTGACTTGCTCTTGATACTTAATAGCTTTATGTCCTCTGTAATGGTATGAAGATAGTGAGGTTCTTCAATGTTGTTTTTAAAGTTTAGGCTTTTTAAATAATATCATTAATGAGAAAACTGCTTTAATGACCTTAACTAGTAAGTTTTTAAACAAACAGGAGCTACAGGAAGATAATAATGAAAGTATTTATAGCAAAGTCATTGTTTTATGAAATGCATGTTTTTAGCACTTGCCTCATGTTTTTATAACAATTAAAATATCCCCTTTTTAAAGAGAATCACTTAGCTTACTAGAAGGTCTGGCAGGGAGATTCTGTGCTGGTCAGGATTATTAGGGTAGGCCCTGGGTTGATTTACCAATGTGCCATATTGGCATGTCTTACAGTGATACCTCAAACAGAACTTTTTGTGTGGAAACAGCAAAATCCTCATTAAACCTGATTTTTATTATATCTAATGTGTATGATGCTTGCATGAATGAATATTATGGCAGTTTTTATAAATGTTTGCATATTTGTTTATTTTTTTGAAAAGCTTTTGGCGTGAGTTTCACACTGAACTTCTGGCTTCACAGATAATCAATGTTAATATTTCCTCTTTCGCTTCAGTTACATCTTAGCAGCACTGTGAAAAATTTTTAATTAAGATTTCTATTCTATACTTTTTTAAATTAAAAGGTAGCATCGTGAAAGCCTTTGTATAATAATGAAATTTGTATATGAATAAGATTTTCAATGACATATTAGTAGATTTAAATGTTTCTTACATTTTTATTTTCATGGTAGTTTAACATGTAGTATTCTCTAATCTCAACGAATTAACTCATTCTGCCATAAAAGCATTGAGAACCAACCTGTTAGCATAGAGCAGCACCAAAGTTTCTAAGTTACCTTGCTATGGTGCACTTACACATCTTAAAATTGGTAAGTAGAGACATAGCTGCGGACCATTTGTGGCCATAAGATCAGATGTGTACACTTGGCCTTGCGTGCTGGAGAGCTTTACCAAGTCTTCCCTTACCCAGCACCCATGCTGCCATTCTCTGGCCGACTCCCGTAATGTACCCTCACCTCTGCTCAGATTCCACAAAAGCTACACCCACACCCTTCCCCAACAGTGCTTCCATGAAACGTGCACAACTTCAGCTTTTTTTCATTTTAAACTTTAAAAAGAAATAGCAAACACTGCAGAAATAAATGGCCTTGTCCCATTGCGTGTGTTACATTGTTAGAAATGACAGCAGTTGTAAATGAAGAGTTCATCAAAATTGTAAGTTTTATTTCTGTTAATTGTAAGAAAATGTAAGTTGACCTTTAATGGTTTTTTCCCCCTTGGGTTGTGACACAGCTAATCATTCAGAAGTGTTATATATAATCAGCCCCCTCACTCAGTAATCTACAGAAAAGAAAATATTTTAATGGACCAGTCATTTTCCCTCAGAAGTAATCTTAACATTATTAATGTCCCTATCACATTAATATTAATAATTATGAGGTATCTCATCTGAGTAAAAGACATTCCTTTTTTACGAAAGAAAGAAATTGTTGTTACTGCAATGAGAGGCAAATCTCATAAACACCTTCTAGGAATAGTCATGAAATTTCTTTTTAGGCACTGAGACACAGAAAGCAAACTTCATTTAGTATTAACAGTCCAGAAGTGCCAGTATGGTAGTCCTGTGCAGCCTGAGCCTGTACCGCCTTCGCCACACTCCATCTCCCATCCCCCTCCGGGCAGCCTTTGGCCATACCACCCTGAGCACATCTATCCCAAACTCCCTGTGTCACCCACACCAAAGTCATTTATCCTCTGGGGCCTTGGTGGCTTTTGCGCATGAAACCTCAGATCAGTTCTAGCCCTTAATGTATCTACTCATAGATAATATTTCAGTGAGATTCAGATAATATTCTTTTTAGCAAGTATTACAGACACAGCCAGCATTTCTGTGAAGGTTGAATGTATTATTATGAGTGCTAAACATACTAACTTTCATAGATAAATGGTATCCGCTTAGTTATATTTCATTTTCATCAAATGCAGACAGAATTTGCGTGTAGATTTCTGTCTGTAGCTAAATTATCCAAACACTTTGAAGCTATTGCTTTCAAGCTGACAAGCCTGCTCCTAGGCTTCCCCATTCTTTATTTTATTTTCATGTCTGTTGTCTAGAAATTCTCAAGGGTTTTTGTTTGTTTGTTTTTTCTTAGTTTCTCACATTTAGCACATCTCTTACTCCTGTAGCTCTTGGAGAACAGGGTGTTGATAAGTGACAACTTGGGCAACTGTGTGTGCACCTGTATTTATGACAGTCTAAAGTTAGAAGGTTCTAGGTTACTGTCAGCCTTCTTACTACTAGCTGTAGTCTGTGCCTGTCTGCTTCCCTGAAGAGCCCACCGTCCAGCCCGTAGGAGTACGTTTAGAACTGTATCCACGCAAGTAACAGACCTGAAGATTCCTGTGAAGAAACACAGATGCGGCCTGACTTAGTTGGCAGCGCTGAGAGGGCCCGCTGAGAGGACAAAACACCTGGATTGTCCGGTATTAAAGTTAAGAGGAATCGGGCCCTACCTGACGAGTGAATGCTGGGAAGACAGCAGTGGCCTAGAAATGAGCTGTGTGCCTGAAAGAATGGAAGCTTGGCATGGCTGGTGTCTGTGTAAGCCCCTGGGTGTAAAAGCCAACACACCATTTCAGGCTCCTGGTGACCAAGAGGAGGACTTGGACGCCATGTTTGGGAACAGACGTTTTTACTCTCTTGGTCTTGAGATGTTACAGTTTTAAGGAGGGAAATGGCTTTTACTCAGGTTTGATCTCATCTGTTTCATAATCCTGTTCTATACTGTTTTTTTTCTATACTTTTTAAAAGATGAAGTTGCTGTCATTAAAAGTCATTAAAGATAATTTTAGCATTTTATGCTCTGTTGTTTATAAATTATGCTTGTATTTCCTAAAACATAGTAATAATAAAAATTTAAAAGCCTTATTGTACCATCAGATAAATCTATCTCAAAATTTCAAAATCTAATTTCATGTTTAATTTTATTCTTGACAGGCTTAAAACTATCACTGCGTTGATATTGGTGAAGCCCAAATAATTAATTTTTGAATATATTTTTCAAAGTACAGACTGTGCCATAATTAATTGAGACTTCTTGCTTTTCATATTTTGATTGGTTTTTGAAGCACTAACACTTCAGAGTTACAGAGACACATAACTTGGTCCTTTCAGGTAAGTGAGCTGCCTCTGCAGGTCATGTGTCAAGGAGCCAGCTGGTCACCGTACTAGGTTTCAAACTGGACGGTTGGTATCTAAGAACAGAGGTGACACTAACCCAGATGCTAAGGCCAGGGTCTTCTGACCTCACTCATGCCCCTCCCTTCAGCTGCTCTGTAAGAGCTCAGCACAGCAGAGGTCCAGGGTCACTCTTTTGGATGCTGTTTATGGTATGCTACTCGACTTGGCCTCTCCCCCAAATATGGAGGGCGTGGGCCCCAGTCTTCACTTCCTCTTCAGGTCATTTATGGCCCTGCTCCTTTCAGCAGTGAAAGCGGAGCTGTACCAGCGCCCTCACTAAACGCTCTCCACCTAGACACCCACACGAGGTGCTGTACTAATACACTGCTCCTGTGTGTCAAGGTCGCATGTTTTCTGGTGCCCTCCATACCACACCCCAGTTTTTGGAGACAGGATTTCTCTGTGTAGCTGTGGCTGTCCTAGAACTGGCTCTGTAGAACAAGCTGACCTCAGACTCACAGAGGTCCGCCTGCCTCCCTGCCTTGCCTGAGTGCTGGGATTAAAGGCGTGTACCACCACACCCCACCCCAGCCCCAGATAGTGTGAGTGCTGTATGGGTTTGAGGCCAGCCTGGTCTATAGAGCCAGACCCAGGACAGCCAGGGCTATCCATGGAAAAACCTATCCATGGAAAAAAAAAAAAAAAAGCCAGTAAATAAAACAACTTAAAAAGATCAGTGAAAGCTCTGAGCCTGCACAAAATAAGTGAAATGCATTTGCTTTTCTGATCTCAAAAAAAAATTTATAATTAAAAATCGTATAATTAAAATGTCTTAACTTTCAAAATCACGTACTCGCTAGTACATTAATATTTAACCTTTGGCAAAACTATAAATAGAGAAGTAGCACATATTATGGTGATGACCTGAAAATCCTTTCAGTATGGCCAAATGTAATCACTTAAATAAAATTTACGAAATGAACATGTATCACTTCTGTAAGCCTCATTTCAGGTATACCCAGTAGCCACTTAAGGTTGGTGGCAATAATGTGAGACTGCAAGTAAGAACCTTTTTATCCCTCCAACATTACACAGTACCAGTCTAAGAGAAGCCTACAATTTTGAGAGCCATAACAAAAAGTTTCTACCCCTGAGCTTTGCACGCCCAAGAATAATAATGAAGAGTTCCTTCTTGATAGCAAACTGAAGAAGCTGTGCTCAGCACATTTTGAAAGACCAGTCCGCCAGCTATGAAAACCTTCACTGCAGATGTGTGCAGAGAAGCAGCCTTTTAAAACTATTGTCTGTATTCTTAATAGATATATTTATGAAAACAATCTTTTGAGATGTAAACTCGAGAAACTAATATGTTAGATGGATGTTTCTCAACCTTCTTAATACTGTGACCCTTCAATACAGTTCTTCATGTTGTGGTTACCCCAACCATAAAATTATTTTTGTTGTTACTTCATAGCTATAATTTTGCTGCTGTAATGAGTCGTACTGTAAATATCTGTGTTTTTGATGGACGGTCCTAGGCGACCCCTGTGAAAGAGTCCTTTGACCCTCAAAGGGATTGCGACCCACAAGTTGAGAACCTCTGTGTTATGTGGTAGCATGAGACAGAAGTACATTGAGTATTTATGAAATCTAAATAAATCAGCCACAGTTTAATAAGCCTTTTTGCTTTTAATATTTTGTGTCAGCTTATGAAGCACCTGCTGCTCGTAAGCTACCGAGAGACACACTATTTAGATCCGTGGAAGGGGAGCCCCACGGTGTAAGCCAGAGGTGAGCTACTTCAACACTGAGTATGTCAAAGTGCTGCTTGAGCCTACTGCGGGCATTCAAACTCCTTGTTATGACTTTGGTTACAGACATTCTTCAGGAAATGTACCGACGGGGGATCTGTCTTGAATACTTGAAATACAGGAAGTACCCATGTAGTGCTTGTTTTAAAGCTCTTTTTTAATTTGGGGTTCCTTAAAGCCTCTCCCTTTCAGCTCCCCAACCCTAGCCAGGAGAGGGAAGGTTAGTGGGGAAAGGAGTCGCAGACCTCTTCATTTCTTCTGGCTGTCTAAGGTTGATGTTTTCTTTTGAGGCTATACCAATCCTGTCAACAGCAAACGTAGCAAGCAGTCTCCTCCAACTCTCTCCTCCAAGCCCCGGTGCCCCAAAGCATCTTTTGGTCTCTCCAAACTACCACCCTCCATATGCCACACTTTCTCTTTCCAGGCTCTCCTATTTATGTCAGTCATAGTCCTGGACCACTACCCTTTCCATGTAGCCCGAGGCAGTCCATTGCCAGCTGGCAAAGACCATGCCCCACAGGAAGCAATTATCAGCTGTGAACACACTAAAGCCCAAACTAAAATCCCACACTTGGGATTAAAACACAAACATATTTACATAACATAACTTGAGTTTTTAAAGAAACCAAAACTTTCATTCCATAACCATTGTACAGATTATGTTGTGATACATTTGCCATTGAATATTATCTTTTGTGAAGGTTCTTGTTATACACATATACACACAAATCCCTCAAAAACATTGATTTCTTAGAGACTTGAGAGCCTTTGGTTTATGAGACAAGTCCCCCCCCCCAATTTACTTACCCATATTATCAGTAATATCATACATTAATTAATTTTTAAATTTTGGTAATGAAAAAAACCTACTTATTGTGCTTTGCTGTGGTCGGTTCACCTCTGTCATCGCTGAACTCTTTATTTTGAGGAAATAGCATAGTTTTGTGTCATACAGAAACTTGACAAGGTAAAGTTATGCATGTGAACAGTTATAAAAACCTTGATGAGCATTTACTAAATGAATTAATTAAGACTACAGCTGGTCTTGCTTTGTGATCAGCAAATTTTGGAAAAGTGATGTAAGAAGCCGATTTAAAATACATTCTTGATGGGTGTGGTGGCGCTCGCCTTTGATCCCAACACTCAGGAGGCAGAGGCAGGAGGATCTCTGTGAGTTGGCCAGCCTAGTTTACATAATGAGTTCCAGGATGCTCAATGCTTTGTAGATAGACTCTGTCTTGAAAAAACAAAAAACAAAAACAAAAAACAAAACAACAACAACAAGAAAAAACAAATAAAATATATTCTTTGTTTTTATTTTTGAGGGGTTTTTTTTTTTTTTTGCATTCTTTATTCTTAATGCTCCTTTTCTCCAATAAGCTTTTAAAACAAGGATTTTAGCTAATAGGAAACATTGATTTGTGTTGTATCCATTGTTTTTTCTTGAGTAACATCATCAGCTTCATAGAATGTCTCATTTGTTGAATTTGATGCTGCATTGGAAACGAGGCCTTTGCTTTTCCTATTTAAGTTGCCTGCAAATACACAACACCAAATGAAATAATTAGTCAAACTTATGACATGAGATTCATCCTTTCAAAGTTTGTGCTTGAAGTTGCTATGATCGTATTGAAAATAGGGTTCCTGAAAATACTATATAGATGAGTGAGAACCAAGTCTGTTCAGCACAATTTTGAGCCATTCATTGTGAAAGTGAACGGGATATTCACAGAGCTGCAAATTCTGTTTCCGTATTCTCTCTCCATGCCCTGTGAGAAAGCACACATTTCAAAAGGAGGTAACAATTTCACGGTCACTGAATGAAAGTGTCACTGTCCCTATCCTACATATAAATAGAATACACTGCATTAAAGCTAATCATGATAATTTCAAGAATCTGAAGGCATTGCCATCATGAGCAATTTGGTTGTGAGTTTTTAAAAGGAGCACATTCATTCCACAATCCAATTCATACCCACTGCATATAAATCCATAATAAACCAGGGCTGGGGAAGTGGCCTTCACTCACCAGCACTTGAGCTGACAAAGGAAGAAGTCGGTTGTCGTTCTGTGGCTTGATACTGTGCTTGTATCTTATACAACGATTTATTTCAAATGCAAACATTTCAGTTTGGGGGGAGGGCTCTGAAAACGTCAAACCAAATGCTGGTTTATTGACTGCTACGTATTTCCTCATCAATGCTCACACTCTTCAATTTGTAATATTTAAATTAAGTTTTCAAGGCCTTCTCCCTACTTCATCACGTACAGATTTTGTGGGGTTTTTTTTGTTTTGTTTTGTTTTGTTTTTTAATAATAAAAAAAAAGGAGGGGTGGGGAATCTCAGGGTGTTATTTTCTAACATAGTCATTTGGATGCTCTGAGTTGTCTCTGTTTCTGCAGCTTTGGTTTCCATTATGTGTATCTGCAGCAAAAGCTAGAGGAAATCACTGAAACTGCCTACCACTTTCTGAGTTGTACAAGCTATCGAAATACATTCCACTGTTAAAAATTCTGCGTCCCTCCTTCGCACTTGTAAAAGCCCTTATTTCCCCAGCCCTGACTCATTATTTACTTGGCTTCCAGATCCTCTTCTAAACATGTTAGCTTATCAAAACAATTTCCTAGGTTGGCTTCTAAAACCAAAGCCATTACCCCTAACAAAGCAATTTCCTATTCGAATAAGAAAAGATTGGTTGTAAACACTCCAGAATTTACTCCAGTAAAAATCCCAAAGACATTCAGTGGATTTCCCTCCAGCAGATTAAAGTAATTGGAGCCACAGAAAACAGCAAGTAAAGCCCAGTGTTGACAGAGTCCCCTTGGAGTTTTTATGAGTAGGGCCCACCACAGCAACCTTTCATAGAAACTATTTTCTTACCCAGCCAAGTAGGGATAAAGCCTTCTATTTTGCAAGGTTACAACATGGATTTGAATTTAAGTAAGAAATCTGTAATGCCATTGAAGTGCCAAGGATTTGTTACACATGGAGAGTTTTTCTTATTTAATTCCTGTTCTTCAGTTGAGCACAAATTGCCAAGACCCACCATCACAGTTCTTCTCTTCAGTTCTTTGTGCTGAGCTTTCATGTTTCCATCCATATTTCATTTTAGTCTGGCTATTGTACACCTTAGCCTTCCTTTAATCCTGTACACCATAGGCTGGCACTTAAAGCTTTGCCCTTCGGCAAAACTTAAATCCAGTTCATCCAACAAAATCATTCCACCTGATCTTATTGCAGCTATGCCAACATACTTGTTCTGATAACAGTTAAACTTGTGTTTACCTCAGAGCTGGTCCTCAGGGCAGGGACCAACTTATCATGTAACTCGTGAACTTGGGTCTTGACAGCCATTTCAAAACAGGAAAAGAATATTGGAGAACCCTGCAAGTCCTTGTCTCCTGGCCACCTACTTGGCAGAACTGTGATGGAGCTTTTCTGCCATTATCCATCCTGCTTAACCTAGCTCTGGGCTGCATCCCTGGAGCCCTAACCAGCTTCCAGAGGCTGGTCTAACCCGATAGCTTTGGGAAACAATCTTAAATCTACACCCAAAGTGATTTTGTTGATGGTGGTGTTTTTTGTTTTTTGTGGTTTTTTTTTTTTTTTGGTGTTTTTTTATTTGTTTGTTTGTTTTGTTTTTCAAGTCAGTGTTTCTCTGTATAGCCATGGCTATCCTGGAACTCACTTTGTAGATCAGGCTGGCCTCAAACTCAGAGGCCTCCCAAGTGCTGGAATTAAAAGCGAGTACCATCACTGCCTGGCTCATTTTGTTATTGTTGTGTGGTGGTGGGTTTTTTTGATCCAAATTATTCTATTTTCTACCAATATCACAATGAATTATTTAAATACTTTTGTGAAATAAAATATTACTTAGTAGAGTCATCAGTCCAATTTAACGACTTTCCAGCATTTTTTCCTGAGCATTAAGTGTCTAGTAAAGTGGCTCCCAGGTTTATCTATAAACTTCCTGTAAAACTATGAAAATACCACTTGGCTAGTTCAAAATTTTAGAGTGTGATTCAAAAGTTCATTGGGGAGCATAAGCATTACATATAAAAAAAAGCAAAGACGTTCTTAAGAAAAGCTTAATGGAAGGAAGATGAATTCTTGACATTAAAATAGTGAACCACAGTAATTTTAAAGTCTATCATAACTTAATAATCAGAATAAACAATTTAACAGAGCACAGTCTAAGAAAAGACCTCAGTACTTGTAGCAATTTTTTGACAAGTGACCATTTAGGTTGACAATAGAGATATTTGGACAACTGACTCATTTGGAAAATTAAAAAGGCAGATTTCCTACTTTGCTTCTGGAGAGTTAGTAAAGCTCTAAACACACACACACACACACACACACACACACGCATATATAAGAACATGATTACAATGAACATGAGCAAAAACAAACTTTCCTTTCTGAGGAAGCAAGAGCATCTTCTCAGAAGAAACACAAGACGACTTCAAGTCAGTCTAAGGATCATTTTGCTCATGAGCACAATAAATGTTTATATGATTTTTTTCCCAACTTACTCTCTGTATTCTATATACCTATGTAACAGAGTCTTATTGCTAATTTACCTACCCTTTTTAAAATTTCTATCTTTTCAAGGCAGCCACCAAATGCCAGCTTGAGGCTTTTTGTTATTTCTATACAACTATATTGGCTCTTCCCAGTGGTTCTCCTAGCACTGCCTTTCTAATTTTTATCAGAAACACCACTTCCCAGAATCCCTGTCATTGATCATCCCCCATCACCTCCACAGGACCTACTCAGAGCCTCAGGGTGTATGGCTTTATCTTCCAGAGGCAGTAAGTTTCCTTAGATATGGGTCACAGATGTCATTATTAGAGTAGAGCAAGCATTACACTATGCAGTCAGTTGAAAATCCCCATAAATTTTAAAAGCAAAATGAGAAACAATTAAATGCTGAAGTTCCCAAGGCTTAGTGCAGACCTTTCCCTCTCTAGCCCTGAGAATGCTAAGGCCTTGGCTTCATTTCTGATATGTCTGTAAGAACTCAGCTATGGAATCACTTGAGAAATGGAAATCAATGGCGTCTTCTCTCTGACCACTCCACATTTAGCCATGGCTACTCTTCCCACAGCCTTGAATGAGGCCTCACCCTTAGGAATGTTTGCACACAGCCATCTTTTGCTTGGGAACTTAGTGTCTGGGGCAAAACAATACCAGTCACAGTATTCTTCTTACTATTGGCATTTGAAATGTGCATAACCCCAAAAAGAGAAGTTTTAAAAGAAGAGAACAGTTACAAGACACAATCTAAAATCCCACCAATTGCTCAGTGAGAAAGTGCTTTGTATCGTGTGGGCAGCAAAGGTTATGCCATTAATGTCTGCAGCCATGGCCAGGAGAGACCTACCTGCCTTTTCAAGATCAGTGCAAAGACAGTAAAGCCTTAAGCTGTGTACATTTAAAACCGAAATACAATGGAATAAAAATAGACTGAGGAAAAATCCTGGCAGTGTAATCTATGATTATTAGCCTATTTTAAACCTACACTGTTATCATTTATAGGAAAAGAAAAGATTCAGGACCCTGTATCCATTGTAATATGTGCAAGAATATGCTTCTTTTTAAGCCATTCAAATTGCTTGTAATGAACAGTCTCTATTATGAAAATTAATCTAAGTAGTCCTCCCCAGGGAACAACATATCATCAATTGGTTTTCTAATGCCAAATGGTCAGCCCTGAAAACATGTACATGTAACATTATACTGTTACATGTTACAACTGAGCAGATTGCATTTATGTATTTAGAAGTGTGTGTGTGTGTGTGTGTGTAACAACAATTAAAGAAAAAAGAACATTTTGAAAGGAAGCAAGGAGAAGGATGTGGAAGGGTTGTTTTGAGGCAGGAAAGGAAAGGGGAAATTATATATTTTTATTATAATCTCAGGAAATAAAAGATAATTTTAAGAAATTAAAATAATGTGGGATATATTTGTTTTTGTTTTTTGTTTTTGTTTTTGTTTTTTTGTTTTTTTTTTTTTTTGAGGTACGGTTTCTATGTGTAGCCTTGGCTGTCCTGGACATGCTTTGTAGACCAGGCTCGCCTTGAACTCACAGCAATCTGTCTGCTTCTTGTGAGATGCATTTTTAAGAAGAGATAATGTTGAAATAAAGGGGTTCTAACAAGTGAAATCAACTTTCCTCAGATGTACTATTTACATGCCTAATTAATTATGCAAGTATTTCCTTGTGAGTCCAACCTTTAACACTTTCTTTAAATGCCATAATACTCTTATCTTGTCTTCTCCACAACTTGAACAATGGCATCTCTTGCTAGGTGGTGGAAACACTGGAAAGGAACACTTATATTTAACAAAGTGTACAATGTTTAATTATCACTTAAGGGGTTCAAGAGGAACCCATTTTTCAATTCCAACGCCATATGAAAATAGGGAATTTTGTTCTGTGTTCTACACTATGATATAAAACAAAAACAGAAAACAAACAAAACAATCCATAGGACCAAAGTCACCTCTTTGAAAGCAAGGGAAGGCACTGGTTACTTTACATTTTGTATGCTGCTTTCTAATAGCCAGACTCAGGAAAGGTCTATTAAATTAACTTTCTATCTTTGTACATATGTTTTGTAAAGAACAAAATGGGGGCATTTCATTCCAAGAACTCAGTCTCATTTAACTTTATAAGAAGTGCATAGCAGGCTTCGTCTACCAAATAGTAAAACATGTCAAATTTGAATTGACATACCAGTAATTCTGCTTTGGGGTCACGGAGATAACATGAAATAGAGTTTTGCAATATTTCTTGAGCTAAGCAAGAAAAAAAATAGCCATTTTTATTTATAGCAGGGCATTACATAGAAGGCACATTCAATACATGTTGGATGACCACAGCCATGACTATACTTGGTCAGTGTTTCACAAAATACGTTCCTGGGATTAGTAAAGATAAAGGACTAGTCAAGTCAGTTCATTCAAGAAATGTCTCAATATTGTAAGCATTGGGGAATATCACAGTGAACAAACATGACAAAAATTCTTACTTTGCTGGAACTACATTTCTAGTTAGCATGTAGAAAATCTATAGATAACAAATAG